TTGGTAGTATTGGGTTTTCATTGACATAATCTTACAGTTTGAATGCACATTCCAGAAATACTCTATCATCACTGGAACAGAACGAGGCTAAGGAAGGTTATCAGAGGATTGGGAACTGTGGTGTGTGGGAGTAGGAACGATAACACTATTAGTCCACATCTGATTGTGATTTGATACTGGACTGAGTCTAGAGCAGTTCCACTGGAGCCAATAAATCCAAAGGAGGGGAAAAAAAAAGTTAATCATAGTTGATGGTGCTTATATGTGTCCAAAAAAATTATTTGCAGATAGATATTCACAACTCTGGCATTGTGCCTCTGTCCAGAATATTTGTCTAAATATTAAAAAATAGTAAATTAGAAAATGTACTTAACTGTCATCCCATGTCCATGCATTTTCAGCTGAACTTTGGCAGTAAGCCCTAAATGTGATAAAAGACTCTACACCAATATATTTTGCTTTTCTCTTCTTTTTTTTTTCTTTCTTTTCTTTCTCTCTGTCTCCCTAGACAAAGCTGACAGCATAGCATAGATCTTGAATTATGGCTGATGCATTTTTCTAAGCTGAAGTATGTTGTTAGCTCTTATGCTAATGATTGCAGCAGAATTCCAGCCTCTATGGGAATTTATGGGAAGAGCGGTTACCACTGAGCATCGTCTTGGACTTTGGATCTTCCTTTGGGTCCTTCCATAGCTAAAGTCAGCCAATGCCTTGTAAGTGACATCAAGGTAGAAAGTCTTGCTGTCCCCATTTTACAGATGGACTTTTGAGAGACAGGAGGAATAAAGCCAAATGCTTCAAGGATACTTAGTGGAGGTTAAGTGCCAAGTTTCCTTTGAAGGTTTAAACCCAAATGACATGCCTGTGATCATGCAAGAGATTTGTATCGCCCATGGGAGCAGAATCATTTTTTCAGGGTAGTGTCATAACCACTCCACAATCCTTCCTCTTTCTTCTTCCTAAAGCTCCCACTGACTTCAAAGGTGAAGAATTATGGCCCGCATCCCACAGTCCTGTGAGCTCAGATGTGTGTGCAGAGCTCTACCCACACATATATTCCATCAGGGATACTGCTCAACTAAAATTATACAGGCAGTAGGGAGGGTAAAAAATGTCTGCAAGGCTGGGGCTTCTTTTTTATTCTCATATTGCCTTTCTTTAACCTCAAAATTTTAACTAAGAAAGGCGGAGTATACCAAATGACTGAGTTTTGGGTCTACTATGCTGTCCATAGAAGAGTCGTAACCCAAAGAAACTAGGAATAGAAAAAAAGGAGGAGTGCTAACTTATTCAGTAAGACAAAATATTCCATATTTTGAACACCTCAATGAAATACATTATTGAGTTTCCATGAGAAATAAATAAATAGATGAGCTGGTTGGATTCTCAGAAAGCTTGCAGAGACTGGACATAAAGAATCAATTTATCTCTTGTCATGTGTAGCCACTACAAAGTGAGCACACCCCAGGTGATGTGTTTTTCTGCTGATCCAACTATTACTCTCCTAGATGAACAGCAAAATTAGAAGTTGGGATTTTCACCCGGTCACTTCATCCACTCCACTGTACATTTAAATACTGGTAGCAGTGTTCAGCTGTTATTGGGAGGTCACTCCCTCACCCAATGGCACAGCAAATGTTTCACCCATTCTCTCTTGGTTCAAAAACAACAAATACATATAATTAAAATGCTAAAATTAATTTTTTTTCACTGAATGGAAGCAAAGTAAAATTGGAAGAGGGTAGGTGCATCCTTTTGGTGCACATTTAAAACAAGAGATTTTCTTTCCCCCCCCCCCGCCAAAAAAAAAAAACCACAAACAAACAAACCACTTAAATTCTGGCTCTAGTTAATAGTTTCCTAATTGCGTGTGACTGTTTCTTGACTTCCTGATCCCTGTCTGGTGGTTAAGAATCCAAAGGGTTTATTAAATCAACCGGAGCAGCTGCCTCCTCGAAGCCAGGCATGGTGTATGTCACTGGCTGTGGAAAGGAACTGCAATTCAGGGAGGAGCAGAGGTGATTGATGGGGCAAGTGTCATAGCTCAGACTGTGGTTGCACTACTGTGTATGGGCATAGTTACTGCAATCATTTATCTTCTGTCCTCTGCCACACACAAGCAGAAACATATATGCATGTTTTATTTTTGCCAGGCATTAGAAATGCAGGAATGCTCAAGGTGCAGCGGGACCTGTAGCTGATGATTTGCCTCTCAAGGTGATGCCTTCCTTTGTCTTGTTCCTTGGACAAGCACCAGAAACACTGACAAAACACAGTCCTTGGTTTTAAGTTTATCTCTCTGCCATTGGCAAACTCTTTCCCACAGAAGAGAAGGAAAGAAAGGGAGGGGAAAACAGGCAAGTAAATGGGTCTGTTTTGTGTACTGTATTTTAGGTTAGATAAAGGGGAGGAAAAAACTGTAGGTTAAATGTGGATGTAGGATTCCAAGTGATGGAGTTGCAGAAGGTGATGAAAGGTACTTCCTTTCTTGGCAAAGATCTTCTTGGTCAAGGTCTAAATGCAACTTCTGTTCTTGGGCTATCTAGACCTCCAGCATCAGAGCTGTCCCCTGGCAGGAGTGGGATGCACAAAGCTGCTTGGTCCCCCAGCATTGCTGCTCCTGCTTTGTGTAGGAGAAGGTTGTCCTTACAGTACTTTGTTTTCCCCAAAGCATCTCAGGTCATTCGGGATCAGGTCCCATCAGTTCCCAGCCTTCACTTCCCTTCAGCCAAAAACAGGGAAGAAGAGACTTCTCTTATGTGGGTTTTGAGCTTTCAGATGCTTCCAAAAAATTTCACCTTCCATTTCAGTGTCCAAAGGCTTCCCTGACTCCTCCCTGAGCTACATCAACCCGTTAAGCACAGAGCCTCAGTACAGAGGAGATGCAAAGGCTTGTGATACCTGCATGGACCACCTGATTTACAGCTTTGTGTTACAGAGGTTATTGCAAGTGTAAATTGGCTACTCATTCCTCAGACTTTGTTCCTACAATATAAATTTCTCCCTGCTTTTCACCAGGGATGGAAGCCACTACATCCTGTGCTGCTGCAGCCAGCAACATTTTACCTCTTTGACGCTGTCAGGCTATTTCTACGTCCCTCTGAGAGAAGTGCATGTTCTTACCAGACGTGGAGGCAGCTTCCTTCCAGGAAACTGGTGTCTCAGATAGGTCTGGCTTAATGGGACTTATTATTTGTTGAGTGCTGCCAAAGGGCTCAACTGAGAACAAGGTGCAAACTACTTGCATGCTCTGAGGAGTTCACAAGATGCACTGGTGATTCCAAGCCATGCTGGAAAGCCCAAAGGAATGATTCAGGGTAATGCAATTGAACCCTTAAGGAAGGACATGCTGTGAGGATCACTGTGATTTGGCAAAACAGGTTGAGAAATCATTCGGAAAATGAAAGGTCCAGCTGGTCTGTAAGACCCAATAGACTGGGGCAGGGTCACTGTGAGCATCAGTGTTAGCTCCATCTACTTGGGAGCCCCTGGCTCAGGAGATGTGGTCCCCATTTCTGCCTCACTCAACTGGGTACAGCCTTTGGTAGGAATCCAGAACAAGGTGTAGACTCATCCTGCATAATGCATGGTGAGAAATCTCTGCTGCTTAGTCCCACACATTAAGTGATGCAAATGGGGCTGTAACAAAAAAGCTTTAAGGAGAGTCACTAGGAAGTTGGAAGTCTCCCTAAGACTTGCTGAAAACTTTTGGAGAGGCAGTATGAATGAAGAGGGTGGGAAAAGACAAAAATTGTTGTGATAAAACCGTGTGGCCATCTGGGAGTGTAAGATGTGGTCTGCAAAACATAGTTTGAAGGCAAGTTTTGGAAAATGAGTTCAGGAATTTGGTATAGTAGAAAACCAGAGGAAGAATAACCCGAGTAACAGAGTCACAGCATCAAGTATTTCAGCACAGTGAGTGAGGGATGTTCCCCTCATGGGCTGTGCCTGCAATGTCATTACCACCAGCTCAGATTAACACTGGAAATCCTGGCAGCTTTACGTGTACCTGGGGACTCAGAAAGCTGGATCTAGGTTTTGCAGATTAAGCTGCTTTCCAGTGGTGAGGCACAGAAAACCTCCAGAATGTGCCTGGGTCCTGTTAGCAGTCATCAGACACTGCCCACTTACAGCACTTCCCACAGTGGGGCACGTGGGCCCCCAAACTCTCATGGTAGACCTTGGACCTTTACCGTGTCAAAATAAGTTGTTCTCCTAATAATCAGAGACTTTTGGCTTGTCTGTCCATTACAGCTTGGATCTTGGCTCATTCCTGGGTCTGCCTCTGGTCCTTGGAGTTTCAGCCTTTCTTCTGTGTCTATGAATGTCTCTTCTCACAAAAGCAGGGGCTGAGAGAGCAGTTCTTGTGAAAATCTCTTCCTCAGAAATATCAGGAACATTTCAGGGATTTATGTGTTGCAATGCATTGAACTCTCTGGTGAGATCTAAAAGCATCTAAAGCTGCAAGAAGGATGAGAGGGTTTACCCTGTGTACATCTTCCTGTGTCTGGTTTTGCTGTCCTTGCCTGCTTTAAAACTGTTAAGTTATTAAAAAGGCCCAGATACAAGCCAAATCTTACAGTCCTTAGTCAAGTTCATGGTGACCTTGGCTGGGAACAGATCACAGGATTTTGGTATTAAATAACCAATGAACTGTTTTGAGCAAGAAGAGAATAAAGGTCCTAGTAACTCACCCAAATGTAACACCTGAAACTACATTTTGCTGAAGGAACAGAGAAAAGTGAAAATGAGCTAAAGTTTTATTAAGAAAATACTAGTTTCACTTTAAAAAAGAAGTATATTCATTGATTTTTTTTTTTTGGAGTTCCTAACAACCTCCCAAGCTCTGATCTGCCTAATGGTTTTTTGATGGTTTGTTTGTTTTTTTTTAAATTATAGTGATGCTCAGGTGGCTTACATAAGGCTGGAGTAAAACATGGAGTGTTTTGGCAATTCCTGAAGCAGTACCACCTGAGCTATAGCTTCTCTCTCCATTTCAGGTCCCTAACTTCATCAACACAACACTCCCACCCCACGAGCAGGTGACGGCTCAGGAGATAGACAGCTACTTCAGACAGGAGCTCATCTACAAGAGGAATGAGAGGATGGGGAAGAGAGTGATGTCACTTTTAAGGGAGAACAGAGACAAGAGCTTCTTCTTTGCCTTTGGAGCAGGTATGGCATGAATTTTTCTGTTTTACTCAGTTATTGTGATTGGAAGTAAAGTGTTTTGAATGCTTCAGGATTTTGTCTCTGAGCTTGAGGGAAGATTCCTTAGGAGGCTTCCATTAGGAAGCAGAAAGGTTTTTGTTTGTCTAGACCTGCTTCTAAAATGCAGTTGTTGAAGGAGGTGGGTCTGGGTCCAGCCTGGCTGCAGACAGGCTGCACTCCTTTGTTTTCCATCCAGCTGTAGAAATGTGAAGTTGAGAGCTCTTCATGCTGCTGTTTGTTCCCTTCCCAGACTGACTTGTGGGCTGCTTGGGTTGTGTTCACACAATGGTTTGTAGCCACAAGTGTAGCTTGAATAGTTGAAGTTTGAATTTGCAAGCCCAGGTGCTGATGGGACACAAACCCTTTGGTGGCACAGGCACACGGTGCTGGCCCAGGGTTTCAAACCTCTTGGGGTTGCTGTAGTTAAGACTTCCTCAGTGGGTGACTTAGCTGCTCTGGTCGTGTTTCTGTACAGATTTGCTGGTTTGGGGCTTTGCACAAGTGCATGAGTTGTGTGTGTAGCTAAATACCAGCACTTTGAACCATTAAGTAAAAATCCAATATGTCCCTCTGCCTGTTTAAATGCTCTCCCTGAAGTCTGCAGAACAAAGACATCTGCAGTACTTCCGTGAGTCTGCAACAGTATGTGCTACTGTCCTTTTTTTTATTTCTTTTCCCTTTTCCAGTGGAATTCACATTTCTGTGTGATAAGAGTATAAATAATAACTGTTCAGGCCCCAGCTCAGCTGAATCCTGAGCACCAGCTTAAGTGTCTCTTTGAGCTCCCTCGACTTCAAGGCAGCCTGAGACTGCTGTGCTGAGAACCAATCTGCTCCTCCTGCTCCCTCTCCTTGGCAATTTCTCATTTTTGACAGAACTTTACTCCTCATCCCATGGCTCTCACTATGAACTTTGGCAACAACTCACCTTTCGCTACTCACTTCAGTGGGAATTTTGATTAAAGACTGCGGGTTTTAGTGGAGACACATGCATTTTGATGTATTTATTTTTTGAGTGTATCCGGACTGAATTTTCCCAAGCTTATTTAATCTCAGGCTTGCCTGATGTTTCTGGCCAAGGAGTTTTGCTTAACTGTTTTTACAGTAGGAAAATATATCATGATGGTTCATAATTGGACAGGGATTCATAAAAACCAGGTTGTCTAACCCGAGGAGCGAGGTTTATCAGAGATTATCAAACATGATGGCTTTGACGTAGTCTCCAGTTTTGGAAATCCCTTAACCAGGACATATTTGAGCTGAGAGGATACACTCATATTGGGCATCACTGCCCACTTGCCCTGCTCTACACGCTTTTCCAGGGCATCAATTACAGACCAGGATCTTGGACTAGGTGGGTCATGGATCCAAACCACTGCTGCTGTTTGTGCTGATAACAGAAGTGAAATTAAGCAAATGGATACTAATTACACGCTGCATTCTATAGAAAGGCACGTTTAACTTCTGGGAGGTTTGAGCTTTCTTTCCCTTTCCCCATCAGACAGCACCTACCTGAAACTCCCTAGCAGCATCCCTTGGGAAAGCTGGCTTATGGAGAGCAAGTCTCATTTTGTCTCTTGCACCCATTTTTGGCCATGTTGAAAACTGCCTTTGTTGCTGGGTTTTTTTGTTTTCCCAGCACTGACTGTGGCAGGACAGAACAGACACATGCAGCCGGATTTATCGAGAGCTGGGTCGTGGGAGATGCCAAGGATAGCTTTTTGTTTTGGGTTCTTTGTTCCAGCATCCCTTTGGCCTTTCTCACCAAAGTGGGCCATCCCTGCAGGCCATCCCTACTTTTAGTACAATTAATTCCTTCTTGCTTCTCTGGGGTGTTTTTTCCTTCGTGCAGTAAGTTGTGAGAAAATTATTAATTTTTCAATGCCAAAATTATTATGTGACTGAAGTGCAAGCAAGTTCATTTTCTCTTATGATTCAAATGCAGTTTTTCTCCTGAAGGATTTTTTGGGGGTTTTGTTTCCTTTTTATTTCCCCCATGCACTGAATTATGAGTGGTGTTTGTTGATACATCTTGTGTTTTTCATTCTTATATTTAATTCGTGAATTTTAATGGTTTCTTTGGTATGTGGTTGGGTTGTGAATTCAAATAGTTTTCTAAAACTTTGAACATTTGGTTTTGCCTTTTATAAAAGCGTAGGGTGTTTTTGATGAAAGTTGAGGCTTTCACATATTCCCGTGAATTCTGAAGTGCAAAATTTTAGGAATGCACCTTTGGTGAGGATAGGCGTGATAGAGTCTGCAGGAGCTCATATCCTCCCAGAACAGTGCAAAAATTATCTCACTTTATTTAATATTCTGCATCTTTAAGACTAACACGGTGAAAGGGAAATAATTTGAAAAAAGTGTTCTGGACAATGTACTCCAAATTATGCTGAGCGTGATTCCTGCATCAGTCCCTTTATTTCGAGGGTATTGGAACTAATGGATGAATAGTAATTAAATTATATATGTGTATTGTGAATTGTTTTCCAAATTTCATAATCTCCATCATAGTTTCTGGGGAGGGAAAAACTGGGTAAAACTGTGCTGCCAAATCAAATTAGGAAAATAAATATTTTCCTAAATAAGAAAATAAGCCTGTTGCGAGAAAAGCACCTTGGAAAAACTTCCCCAAATGCAATTTTATGGACGAGGGTTGCTGTAGGAGGGAGTCTCAAGCCCCACATGATGATTCACGTGGACTCAGTGGCATCCTGTACCTCACAGGTATAGCTGGAGCCAAGGGGCTTGGAGATGGGGAAAACAACCCTCCTGAGGTAGAGCCCTGCCTGGTTCCTCCAGTGGCCTCCCTGCAGGAGCTGTACCCTATGGATACTGCCCTAGTGAAGGTGTACCTGGCTTTTGCACAGCTGTGTGTAGCAACTGAGGCTCTGCTGCTCCCTCAGGGCACCATCCTCAGCTTGATTTAAGATCCCAGTGCCACAAGTGGGTAGTTCTGTAGTGTCTGGTAATGAATTTGTATAATGAGCTTGACTAAGCCAGAAGGCACCACACAGGTGTCTTTGCAAATTACAATCTGGTTTGGCTCAGTGAGTCCTGCTCCATGACTGTAGAACCAAAAATACCCACCAAAAACCCCAAAGAAACCCAATGACTGGCTTCAACTGAAAAGCAAGATGATGATTTCCTGGCAGCCTGGTGCAGGAGCCTGGTGCTACTGAGCTGGAGGATGCAGGTGTCTGTCAGCAAAAAGTATATGGTCAGTGTTGCAGAAATCTTGCAGAAAATCCCTTCTCAGTTGAAACGTGGTAGAGTGTAAAGCCCTGTCCCCATAACAAAACATGCACTTCACCATCAGGAAAAAATATAGCTCATTCAGTGTAAGCTGAATTCCCAGTTGGCTGGATGAAAATGTGTGGCTGAAAATGGCAGGCAGAGGGAGATGTGGCATCCCCTCTCATCAGATCTAAATAACCTTCATGTAGGGACAGATCCCACACCCTGGTCCTGGCAGGTCTGGCAGGTCAGGTCACCCCTGGAAATGCCCGCTCTGCCTTCATATGGAAGATGAGGCCATTAAAGTGATTGGGATATAGCAGGCAATTGCCTGTGCAACTCTGCATGTTTATGGGCTGGTTATTAACTATTTTATACATAGAATTTCTACCTTCTTCATCCTGCCTCACTTTTAAAAGAAGGCTGATCAAAATCTTTCAGCTGATACTTTTTTTGGTAGAAAATTGGACATTTGGAGAAAACAGAATTTTTCTGCCTGCTTCTGAAAAGCAAGTCCACTTCTTGAAGATGTTGATCAAAATCCCGGGTGCCTGGGTGTCATTGTTCTCCTGTAAACTGGGATTCCCAGTTAAAATTTTACTATGTTCTGTTTAGAGCTGTGGTGCATCATAGGAGAGGTGGCTCAGAGTCTGGTTTGCAAGAGCACGAGGCTGTGAAACATTGAACAGACAACTCCTGGGAATGAAGGAGTGGGAAGGGGACAGGCCTTTGGATATCCAAGCATGCTGAGATAAAACAGTTTTTCATAAAGTGAAGCAAAGCTTTTTTATGCTGTTGAAAGATGGTTTTTTCTTGTTCCAGTCAGAAGTATTAAAACAAAAAAGAAATTACTCAGTTCTGAATAGAGCTTTTCAGTTTTCTGTCATTCTTAAAAATAAAAAGTTGAGTTTTCAATGGATTTCCCCCTTTCCCATCTTCCATGGAATTACTCACAATTTAAATGTGTTGGAGTAATTCAAACTTTTAATTTATTCCTTTATAAAACACGTAGAAGTGAAAATGGTCATTTATTCTTTCTACTCTCATTTCTTTCTCCTCTCCAAGAAAAATACAGGCTTTGGGTAAAAGGGGACCCAGCTTGTACCCAGTTCTATAGACTTCGTTCTTCTCCTGCCAGGGTTTACCATATTCAGGCTTAATGTGAAAATATCACCATACCTGTATTCACAGTAATTATACTCAAGTAATGAAACAGCAGTTATTGTTTGTGCAGTTAAATGATATTTTTCAGTTATGGGCATGGTAATGTTTCCCTTTGAATGACTAAGGGTTGCTAAATAGAGTACTTTCAAGTAAAATTTGGGTATTTGCTTGGGTTTTGTGTTTTGAAAATCCATCATGGATTGCTAGGAACTATTGATCTGTAATAACAGCCTTAGACCTCATATATACAGGCAATTTATAAAGGGTCATTTATAGTCGAGAAAGACACACAGCCAAGAGCACACAGGCTGTTAAAAAGAGTTAATATTTTGGCAACTAAGACTATATATATGAAGTCAATGTTTAAGAAAAAATCACTCTGGTTTATTTCATTTTTATGGGCAAATAATTTTCAAGTAACACTTATGATAACAAATGGATAAATTTATGTCTGCAGTTAATTTGAACGATAATTTCCTTGGGATGTTTTACTTACTTGCATTTTTTTTTCTTTCTTTTTTTTATGAGAACTGTCAGTTTTGTAGCTGAGAGCCGGATTTACTG